TCACTGTCTCACTCTCTCACTGCCTCACTCTCATTCACTGTCTCACTCACTCACTGCCTCACTCTCATTCACTGTCTCACTCTCTCACTGCCTCACTCTCATTCACTGTCTCACTCATTCACTGCCTCACTCAGTGACTCACTCACTCACTCTCTCACTGTCTCATTCACTAAAGAAAGAAAGAAAGAAAAAAGACACATTTGGCCCCTTCACTCCGGTGCTGGTGCAGACAGCCCTGCTGGTCTCTGACTGCTCCTGGGACAGTCCTTTCCTTTCCTTGGAGAACAGCCCGTCAGATGTTCACAGCCAAACTGCTCCATCCTTCCATTTCTTAGAATTCCAGGAATTGGTTAGCTTTGCTTTATCTTGTCCTCTCGCTGTTCCCTTTAGTCTAAACTCTGCTGAGATGATGGAGTGGATCAACTGGTCACAAACCTAATCTGTTTAGCTAAACAGACCTCAACAAATGGCCACCAAGTCCCTTAACTGACTTTCCTCTCCAGTGTCCTATCAATGGCCTGTCTTGGCGACGTTACCAGACAGTTCTGTTTCAAAGTCTATGAGACACTCAATGAGAAGTGGTGAGGAATGATAGTGTAACTCTTTTTCTCACTAGTTGGTAATTTTACTGGAGGGAAGGTTGTGGGGGATAAACCTTATTTGGTCTCAATCACAATTACATTGAGATATGTTTTTGTTTTGTTTTGTTTTTAATATTTCACAGTTGACAAAAACAGACCAAAGGGGTTTTGTGACCTCCTTACACTCACATAGTTAATTAAGTATTTGACAAACATATGCTCAACTTCACAAAAGTGAATAGGCATTAAGTAGGTGTGCAAATGACCAGATCTAAGGTAAACAACGTAACTTCTCTAGGCTCGGTTTTATCCCTGATAAAAGTCAATTCTGTGGTTTGTTGGGTCCTTGCATATCACACATTAGGATGTGCCGAGAGCCCGGGCCTCTACCTCCTCCTGCTCAGTCACAGGAGGGCACTCAGAACTTCGCTTGGGCTCTTGCTGTGTCTTGGATATATGAGTTACTAGAAGCGGAGGGCTTGGGCAAGGTATGCGCTATCAGGTTTTCTCCAGGCAGATGTAATTCGAGAGTTAGCTGTCTATGGAAGATGAGTTTACATCTGTCTTTCCAAGATCACGGGGCGGTTGGGGCACAAGAAGAGGCTATTGGAATGAACACCGGGTTATTAATTAGGGAAATTAATTTTACGTTAGCATCATTTCTGCCAAGTATGCTTTGCTGCTAGAGTCCTTTCCAGTTCTACCTCCCATGGGGGATAGCAGGTTACACCTCAATTTAGCCAATTCAACTCTGAGAAATTAAGCTTTATCCAGTCAACCCTCATTACTCACAAAGTGTGTGTTTGTGAATTCTCCTCATGAAAATTTATTTGCAACACCAAAAGTAATGCTTTTGAAGCCTTTCTGGTCACTCACAAACATGGTGCAGAGTACCCCCCCCCCCAACCCCCAAGTTCCCAGCCAGGTGGAACCAGTGAAGCTCTTACTCTCATTCTGTAGATGGGTGTCCTGGGGCACGGTCCAGTTAATGCCATGTTTTTCACATTTTTGTGCTTTTTTGTTCACAATTTCCCTGTCTCCACTGTGACCAGAGGCTTCCAGAAACCCTCTATTTCCCGAGAACAATAGTTATTCACTCACTTTCTGTGCACAGAACATAACTGCTATGAATAACAAGAATTGACTAGCTTTATGAATGATGAGTAACAGAGAATTTTAAAAGATTACAATGATGAGACAATCAATGTCAGTATGACCCTATCCAGTTATTTGTGTGCAAGTTTATGAACATGAATCCACTGGCGTATTGTGCATACCCCTTCTCCACGGTGTGGATAGCTTAGGAGAATGCGTGGGAAACCAGACCGCAGAGCTCACAATCTGCCTCTGTTACCTTCTAGACATGAGTCACCAGCATTGCCTTAGCCTCATTGTGACTCAGTTTCCTACCTATAGAGTCAGAAGGCTAGTAGAGCCCTGCTGGTGTAGTGGGCTACAAGTTTGGGCTGCTCACCGAAAGGCCAGCCGTTCGAAATCACCAGCCACTCCAAGGGAGAAAGATGGGGCTTTCTGCTCCTGTACAGCCTGACAGCCTCGGGAGCTCACAAGGGTTCTAATCTGTACTGTAGAATTGCTATGAGTTGGAATCGACTTGATGGCAGTGAATTGTGGTTTTTGTTTTGTTTTGTTGATTTGAGGCTTTCTGGAGTTATTTTGAGAAGTGCTTTGGGTAATGCCTGGAACCTAATAAAAACTTGAAGTATGAACTGAATATCACTTATTATTACTTCTAGGCAATTAGCTCACAGTTTTACATGATTGCCTCTTTGAGTACAGGTAATTCAGATTGTACTTGCTTGTTAGAGTGCAACTTGAGAGTCTGACATCAATCTCATCAAGCATTTCTTTTTTTTATAAATAATTTCATTGGGGGCCCATACAACTCTTATCACAATCCATCCATCCATCCATCCATTGTGTATCAAGCACATTTGTACATTTGTTGCCATCCTCATTCTCAAAACATTTGCTTTTTACTTGAGCCCTTGGTATCAGCTCCTCATTTTTCCCCTCCCTTCTCCCTCCTCCCTCCCCCATGAACCCTTGATAATTTATAAATTATTATTATTTTGTCATATCTTACACTGTCCAACGTCTCCCTTCACCCACTTCTCTGCTGTCTGTCCCCCAGGGAGGAGGTTATATGTAGATCCTTGTAATTGGTTGCCCCTTTCTACCCCACCTTCCCTCCACCTTCCTGGTATGGTCACTCTCACCACTGGTCCTGAAGGGGTCATCTGTCCTGGATTCCCTGTGTTTCCATTTCTTATCTGTACCAGTGTACATCCTCTGGTCCAGCCAGATTTGTAAGGTAGAATTGGGATCATGATAGTAGGGGGTGGGGGGTAAGAAGCATTTTGGAACTAGAGGAAAGTTGTATGTTTCATCATTGCTACACTGCATCCTGAGTGGCTCATCTCCTCCCCAGACCCTTCTGTAGGGATGCCCAGTTGCCTACAGATGGGCTTTGGGTCCCCACTCTTCACTCCCCCTCATTCACAATGATAGGATTTTTTGTTCTTTGATGCCTGAGACCTGATCCCATTGACAGCTCGTGGTCATCTCCTCAAGCATTTTAGAGACCACCAGATAAAGGGTTATTACCCCCTTTTTATCAATTAAACACTGGAATGAAACGTAAAATATCCTTATGTATTCATAACTGAGATAGCAGTAGAATCCAAAAGCTTCACTTATGCAGGTGATCTTTTTTTTAAAAAATTGCTTCATTGGGATATAATTCACAAACAATACAATTCAGTGGTTGAAATATATTTAAAAAGAGTTGTGCAATCATCACCACCATCAATTTTTTCATTCTTGTACCCAATTATTATCAGCTCCCCATTGCTACCCTAGTTTCCTTGCCATACCCCTAAAGAACTATTAATTTAGTTACTATCTCTACAAATTACCTATCCTGATTTTCATATAAAGAAAATCATACCAGATTATTTTATTGTAATGACAAAATAAAAGAGCTCAATCCAAAGAAAGCAGAAGATAATGGAACTAGAACAAATTAAAAATGAGTCAAAATGGAAAACAAATGACAATATATCAAATTTTAACCTAATTATACCTGCAGTAATCCACTTCCCAATGCACTCTGTCTGAGGACAAGACTATTCACATTCCTAGTTAGTGGTCTGAGGGAGCACAGAAGAGGCTTAAACTGCCTGGGGACTCTGTAAGTGGATTTGGGGTTTTCATTGTCATCTATGATGACATACCTGGTGTGCCTTCTGTAAGTCAGGTACTCAGAATTTAAGCTGTCATACAATTCTTTCCTCTGATCTTGGATTTTATTATTTATAATCATTGGATCACATAAGCTGGTGTGTTCCTTCTGTGTGACATTAGCTGACACTTCACTTAGATGGCTGCTTGTTTTAAGATAAGCCTTTAAAAAATCCCAGATCTTGGTCTTTCTAATAGCTGGGCACCATTTGATTTCTTTTGTTATAGCTCACTTCATGGAAGCAAGTATTGAGCAGGGTCGCATCATAAGAAGTAATTGTTCTTAAATTAGGACTTATGCTTAAGTGTGAGCTCAAAATTAATTAGTCTAGCTAAAGTTTATATATGTCCTTGGTCCACTTTAGAAGCAGCTTTATCAGCTTGTTGAGGAATAATTGAAGTAACCTTCATGAAACATTTGGTAATTCTAATAATAGTATTCTTAATGTAACAATGGTATGGACTTTACAATAGCATTGAGAAAAGTAAAATATCATCTGTAGGAATGTTTTTTAGACAAAAATACATGGGATGCTCACTTATACAGGTTAAAAACTTAAGTAACTGAACACTATTAAAGAAAGCAATCATGGTCAGACTCAAGGCAAACTTTTCAAGACTCCTCATTCACGAAGCCAAATCTGTGTCTACAGGACAAAGAAAGGATGACAATCACCAGCAAATGGTAGTCTTAAATTGCCCATTGTTGGGCACCCACCAAAGCAAGAGACTTGAACCAAAGTATACGTCCAAAGCCATGATCTTCGGCTCATCATTCTTCGCTTCTTCTCACACTAGGGTGTTTCAGCTTTACATCTAAAGGAGGATTTCAGTTACTTCAACCTGCAACAGGTGTGCTTAAGGTAAAGTCTGGTTCCCTTAGTAGGGTTTCCAAATCACATAAATCTGAAGTGGTCTATGCAAAATGATGTACACTTCAAAAAGACAAAATGTAAACTCCGGTAGCTTATATAGCATGCAGGTGGGGTTATCCAAGTGATCTTAGAGTCCACTCCTGTCAGCTCTGACAGGTCATGGGGTGTCGATCTTACACAAGGGGGTACCCCAATAAAATGGAAAACAAAATTTCCCCCCTCAAAGTCATGTATTTAATTTTTTTACAAAACAACCTTATCGCTCAAGGGTTTGGATTTACCGGCAGGCCCAGCCCCATGGGCCTCTCATCATGTCCCATGCCAGAGCAAACTGTAGCCCTGAACCACTGCCTTGTCTCCTAGCCCATAGGCTTCTGACACTGAAGCGGGTTGAACAGTGTGGGGTAGAAAACCAAAGCCAAACAAAACAAAACAAAAGCAAACAACCTTATCACCTTCATAGTACTTTCCATTATTTAATACATTTGTCAAATCTGTGATTCCATTCTTGGAAACAGTTTTCAAACTCTTCTGTTTGGATGGCTGACTGCACCTCCCTCGTTTTTATCGTCACCAATTCTACATCACCAAATCACCGTCCTTTCATGTACCTCTTCATTCATGGGGAAAAAAAGTCTCATGGTGCAAGGTCAGGAGAGTAAGGTACATGGGACAAGAGAGGCATGCTGGTTTTTGCCCAAAACTGGTGCACCGAGATGGTTGCCTGAGCAGGTGCATTGTCGTGGTGGCCAAACCAGTCCCCCTTCTGCCACAAATCAGGCCTTTTTTTAATCACACACTGTTATACAATCTTTTCAGAACCTATAAATAGAAACATTCAGATTAACAGTCTGACCTGGTGGAACAAACTCCAAATGCACCATGAGTTGACATTTTCTTCCATTTGGGAAGTTGGCAGACGTCTAGCATGAGATTTGTCATCAATTGGCATTTCCCCTTTTTTGAAATGAGAAAATCTCTCGTATACTTGAGTTTTCCCCATAGCACTGTCCTTGTAAACCATGTTTGACATTGCAACAGTGTCTGTGGCATTTTTCTAAGCAGGCAACAAAATTTCACAGCAGCATGCTGTTCTCTTAAGTCAGCCATCACAAAAAAATGAGGTTTGAGTGAAACTACTTTTATGAAAAAATTCACTGTGACCACAGGGAACTTCCCAGGCGACGTCCCTGGGTGCACTAACTTAGAGTGAGTTGCTTAATGCTCACCTAGAGGGGAAAATGCGTACTATAAAAGCTTTGCCCAGGAAAGCTTTTCTCTTTTGTGGGGGGGGGGGGCACCCCTCTGATTAAGGGGACCCAGCCCTGGTTTTGAAGCATGACTGGTTTTTTCATCCAAAGGATCATATATACCTGGAAACTCCAATCTCCACCCCCTGCAGGTCTTCTTGGACCTGGAGCCCTCAAACCCTTGCATGTATCCAGCTGGTCCTTTCCCTCAGTGCCAGTGACTGTGAGCAGGGCTGTACTGATGCTCAGGAGGCCTGGGGTACAGGACAGAACAACGCTGTCTGCACATACACCCTGTCTAATCTGCTGCCTCGGAAGTCAGGCTGTGGTGGCGTTGTATTTCTTTTTTCCTCCAATCAATGTCAATGTTGATTACAAGGAAATCAAATACTTAGATGGTTCCAACTGATAAAAAGAAAGAAAAGAAAATGCACTCATAATCTAACATATACCAATTTCACTGCCATTGAGTCAATCCTGATGCATAGCGACCCTATAGGACACGGCAGAATTGCCGTTGTGAATTTCGGAGACTGTCTCTGTGTCTGCGAGTAGAAAGCCCCATGTGTCTCCTGAGTTACTGCTGGTGGTTTTGAACTGCAAGTTTTAGATCGCAGTCTGATGTGTAAGCACAATGCCACCAGGGCTCCTTAATATTACATGGTTTAAAATTTTTATTTTAAAAAAAATTGCTCTTAGTTAGCCAACATACTCAGAGAAGGAAATGAGAGGAAAGGACCTGTACATCCTAGTCCTTTAGGCTATGAACTAAGAATCAAATGTTGTTGTTGAAAAGACCAATCTTTATTGTTTGTTTTATTATTTTTATTAAATTCCTTATTCCCTCCTCCTTCCATCCTTGACATACTGCTGGTCTTTTGATATGTTTATTAATTACATATATGGCATATAAGGAGGATCATACAATATTTACAAACTGAAAAATTAAAAATGAAGTCAAATCAGAAATGAACATGACGGCTGTATCTTTAGTGGCTGCTCAAAACTTTGCAAACCCCAGATGTTACCTACTAGCATGTACAACATTATCTTTATGAACTATGCTATGGAAATCGATTGAGTTGTCCTATAAGACTGTGGTCCCAAGCCTCAAACCCAAAAACCAACCTCAGAAGGTGTTTGGTTAAATCTAGATCTTAGCTATAACTGTTCCCACCATGTTTCGTCATACATATATGCAAATAAACATTTGTATACATATGTCTACAGATATAAACTCATACTCACATGTGCCCTCCTATGCATACATATGGCTATATGTCCACCTATGTAACCAAACACACATTTTTGGTTGCTATAATTGTTGTTGCAGAATTAAATGTTTTAGCATTGACCAACATTGTCCCTTATTCTTGTGTACTTCTTCATTTCCTTGGTATGTCCATATATGGTATTGCCTTTTTCATCACTAAAAAGAATAAGTGCCTATTATCTAAAAATGTATTCCTTCCTCCCTCCCTGTCCTTTTTCTAGTAACCATCAAAGAACATAACTTTTTGTGTGTATTCCTAGTTTTTAAAAAAATAAACGTGAGAGACAATATTTATTCTTCTGTGATTGACTGATCTCATTCAGCAAATCTCCTCCAGAGTCTTCATGGTGTAACACGTTTCCTGCACCTTTTACCATTCTGGGATTCCATTGTATGTATCTACCATATTTTTAACCCATTCATGGACACTGAGTTAGTTCTCTATCTAGGATTGGGTTTGCTGGGTGCTATGGAAAAACATAGATGGATTTCTTTTGGCAGAAAATAGCACAATCCTTTTCATTTCTATAAGCTTGGCCTTAATGCTGTCATATTCATTTCTGATTTTAGTTTAGTTTTTCTTTGTTGTTCTAGTGACCCTAAACACTTAGCTTGTCACAGTGATCATGGGAGCCTTAAGGGAAGGGAGGCCCACGTTAGCCAAAGATTTTTATTCAACCCATCGAATGTTCCAACTACAGGGCTAGATGCTGAGGGAAAGAAAATTAGTTAAGACACGGCCAGTGCTACTTCTACTGGATACCTCTCCCTGAGGGTCTTTCAACTGTTCTTGTGTTTTTGTTTTTCAAGAACAATTGATTGACGTTTTAGACAGAGCCATGCTCTTTGGGACACAGAACATCGAGAGGCCAAATCCACGTCCCTCATTTCTGATAAGGGAATATCGAGGGTTACAGAGAGTTCGAAGACTGGCCTGAGACTCCGGGATTGCACAAGAGGAGACAGGAAGGGCGGAGTTATGAGGGATGGAGGGATGACAGGAGGGCGGGTGCTGATCCTGACACCTCTGGTTAATGAACAGGGGCTCTTTATACCCCCCACACAGTAGGTCTGTCTCTCACCTGAAGAAGAGAGCACATAATATCCTTTCTCCCACAGGTGCTCAGACCTGGGCTCCCTGTCTTTGTTCTCTCAGCCTCCATCCTTCCCTTCGAGATAGCTGAAGCCCTTGGACGTGAGAACCTCTGACTGCAACGTGGCTTCTATACACACTCAACATTACCTGCGTTTTCTCTCTTTGAGCTGCAGAAGTGTGTGTCCTACTTAGCACGTCTGGGGAACTCTCTGATTTGGCAGATGATTGCACAAGTCATCCTGGCCTGTGATGGTGGGTGAAATACCATCTGATTCAGAAATGCGTTCGTGACTTCCTCCAGAACTGACTGCCTCATTCATGTCTCCAAAAGTAAAAATAGCAAGGGTTAGATCCCTGTGCCTCGCCCATTCTCTGGGATCCTGTGATGATTGCAGGATAGCACTACCAGGGAAATGTCAAAGCCCTGGGATTGTTTCCTCTGAATCTGAATCTAGAAAAAGTAAAGACATCCCGTGTGATGTGAGTAATGTCACTTATCCATTCTTGGAGCCGTGCTGCATTCCTTCCCAAGGGCTGAGGACCTGAGGCACCCTGCTTTTTCCAACATTTCATGTTTTGTTTTCTGTTCCTTGGGCCCTTTCTGCACATCCATCCTATGGACAAGATCAGTGATTCAACAGAGGCTATTAAAACAGTGTTAGGGGGTTGAATTGCAGTGCCTGGATTTCAACATTAAAGATACGTCTGACTGAATACTACTGACTTCCTTTCGAGCAATTCGGGGAGAGGAACACACATTTTTAGAAAGGCCACACAGATGTAAGTTAGGTCTGACAAGGCTCTTCTACTCCTGGCAAAAGTAGATGAATCATGAAGCACAATGGATTTGAAAGGTCATCTCAAGAAGGGTCCAGAACCTAAGAGCTCGGAGTGTGCTAGCAAGGACAGCAGGCCTTGGCCACAGGAGTGCCTGCAATGCTGCTCCCCTGTCCCTGCCCAAACCCAAGAGAGGGCAGGCAGGCCTGAGCCCATGGGTGTGTGAGGAGTGAAGAGCGTCTATCTGTAGACAGGAGGAAGCACCAGACGAAGGCTCTCCCCTCAATCATGGTTGGAGCATGTGACTTGAACGAGTACTCATGATAGAGCTGGTATTAAAAACCAACTCCCTTTGTTTCTATTGTAAGAGACTCATCTTTTTGGCCAACTGGGGGACCCCAGACCAAGAGCCTTGGTATTGTAGCCATTATGTTTTGGGCTGCTAACCTTAAGGTCGGCTGTTTGAAATCACCAGCCACTACAAGGGAGAAAATTGAGGGTTTCTATTCCTCTAAGCAGTTACAGTTTTGGAAATCCACGGGGATAGTTGGACCCTGTCCTATAGGGTCACTATGAGTAAGAATTAGCTAGATAGCAGTAAGTTTGGTTTGATGTTGAGAACTCCAGGCCATATTTGAGCATAAAAGTCTAGGGACAATTCTAGGCTCCTGATGACACAAGCAATAGTTCGGCTACATGTAGGTTGAGTGTGAGTCCCCCTTGTTACTGTGGACCCACAGCCACCAGCCACCTACTGAGAAAAAATGTGGATTGTGGCTGGAACCACAGCACTGAGCTGAGTTCTCTCTGAAAGCACAGGTTGGCTGTCTTCATTCTCATCATAGATACAGCTGTTTTCACCGTGATTCTGAGCTGCTGCTCCCTGAGCTGGTTATGTCTACTCATGGAACCAGCTTTAGGTGTGCATAGCAGCTAGGTTTGTCTGTCGTGCCTTTCCTCTGCATCTTAACGTCGTTTAGTCTTTTTTTGTCTTTTTTCTCCTG